AGTGACCAAGGGCCATGAACTGCATGCTTAAGATGCCTTCTTGCTCCAACAAACCTTGGTAAAAAAAAAAATCTGTTATCTTATTGGCTTGCAATTTAATACTAGAAAGGACAAAAGCCTCAAAATAAACGTATTCTCAAACAAGGGACTCTCTAAGACATGCATAACACCATCCCTAAAAGAGAAAATCCTCCTCTTTCCTAGAAGCATTTACTTTGAGAAACATTCACTGTTGTGCTTCCTGGTAGGGTTTCATAAATCTCCTTATCTCATTAATTGTTCACCAGTGCTTTCTAACTCTAACTCCTAATAACTCTAGGAAAGACATATATATAAAAAAAAAATATCAGGCTGACTTCTAAAATGTATCTTAATCCAAAACAAGTATATTATAAAAAGTTGGATAAAAAGGTGCAGAGATCGGAATCCAACAGTTTTGCATTCATTAGTTGTGATTTATTGCCCTGCAATGCTGTCTGTAGATAATTTATCAACTGTAAATATCAATGTAATCTGCTGGTTGAGAGTCAAACTGATCTACCTTTAGAATGATGTCAGTTTCTATGGAAATCTCCAAACAACAACAAAAATTGTGAAAGCATATTTTTCATCATTGAAGAAACCATAAATCCAAGGCTCATCCAAACCTGGGTCTAACACACATCCAGTTTTGATATAAAACTTATGATTACTTTGGAAAAACAACTTCTAACAAAAACAGATTCTGTAAGACAAAAAAATTAAACCCCAAACTTTGTGATATTTTGGAAAATTTCAGGTTTCCCCTCGGTCCGCACATGCAAAGTGTTTAAAAGTACACTTTGTCCTCCCACCATAAAATACAGCAGTGGTATAGAATCAACAGGTTAAGTTAAATAGATCAAGTGGTATAGAATCAACAGGTTAAGTTAAATAGATCAATTTGTCTTTTTTGTATAATGCTATTTAGCACACAGTGAAATAAGGGTAAATTAATTTGATTTAAATCTCTAGTGGACCATTCTCTTTTCAAGCAGAGCAGCCACATGTCACTGTAAGCCTATAAACCATTAAGCACTAGCAGGAACGCCAGCTTAGTGCATGACATAACGTTTCTTTCAGAGGGAAGAGCTTTCTGTGCTGCAGCTCTACAGAGTCCTTCAGAGACCATCGGGCTAATGTCTTTGGAGGACATCCACTTCAATCAAGTGACCCTTTTTTTTAAAAAATATATACATATTTGCCTAAATTATCCCAAACAGTGATTAGATTCGCCAGAGTCAGCAAAATACTTTCAGCAAATATCAACTTGGACCACCTGCAGATTGGATATCTATGCTGAAGAAGAGCTCAAAAACGCTTACATCTGTCCTCACCTACAACAGAAAGATGGCCTTTTAATCCCCCCATGTGGTGACATGATAAAGGCGAGGATTAAATACTAGCCAGTCACTCAGTCAACACCGCCAGCTTACACACTTGCATCATCAGCCCCAGCACCGCACGTAGCCATTACAGCACTGAACTCAGCAGATTAGTAAGGCAATACAACATCTACAATGCAATGCGCACCTATAAATACAGCTAAGGGTGGGGATCTTCTGTCCCAGTGGATGTCCATAAAAGTGTTTTTAAATTAAACTGCAAAACCGGACAGATTTCCACTCCGATGGATTCGCTGACTGTTAATCACTACCCAAGAATCCCATGTTCTGTATTCACTGAAGCTGAAAATTCAAAAACTCCCCCGTCTATAATTATGTCTATCCCTGAAGAGCATTTTTAGCTTTTTTTTTTTACTGCAACCATCTCCTTGTATCAAAGTGAACTACACAGACTACCCAGTAAATCGACATAATCACTGCTGTCTGAGCACAGGTTAGAGGACAAATTTTAGACAATGATTGCAATCAACAGGAGCTTTTTCAGGTTTTTTTTTTGTACTTATTTTTGTGTAACAACACAAGCTACAACAACATTGAATTAAAGAAAACTTTCAAGGCCGTCAAGCAGAAAAGCAAGCCTTTGTTTACTTCTAAGAATCAAATACATTGGTGAGAACCTAAAAACAGAACTGCAGAAAAGTCCTTCATCTCTACTGTTAAGTATGGTGTGGGACCTATGATGCTGTGGATAAAGGCCAATTTATGCTTCTGACGCATAGCTTCTGAAACCGTCTCTGTGCACGACCACGCCCCACCGCGCAGTGGTTCTGCAGCCATCACTGCGCAAAAAAATCCTGACTACGCCTTGGACGGTTGCAAACCCGCACAGACCTCAAGCGGAAGTGCGCAGACAAAAAGCAGCTGTGATTGGTCCTTGGTATGCCTTTCCGGCTTTTGTCTGTTTGGTCGTCCTATGTTCTTGATTCAGTGCCGGAGCGCACCATTTTTAAAAACCAAGGAACAACTACGACGGAAGGGGCGTACAGACCACCTGCGCGTCCTCCTTTGTCTTTTTGCCAACTCCATTAACAGAACCCGTTCCTCTTCGATGTCTAGCAACTCTAGATCCATCTCTGTGACCGTGATATCTTGCAGACGCGCCATTGTCGTTTTAAACACTCCCGCCGGCAACGCCGAAGTTTTCGTGACCATCTGCCGAAGTTCTCGAAGAGGCTCCCCCTTGCGCTCTGGTGGGAAACTGCTGTGCGTCCCTAGACATTCCAGACAGACAGCGCAGAAGCATACCAGCAAAACTGGTTCACGACCAGACGCAAGCGACATTTGATGTGTGCGGTTGCAAAAGTCTAATTTGCCCTCACGAAACAAAATCAAGTCTTAATTCATTGCAGGAGTAAAAACACATACAAAAAAAAAAAAAAACCCCAACACATTCCAGTTTAGCCTTCCTAAATAAACCTACAAATGCTTTTTTTTTAGGCAAAAGATTATAATTGTCAATAAAATGTATTCGTCCTGGCCTAGTTGATTGTAATGTTCCAGAGACAAACCCCTATGTTAATCACCGAAATCGGAACATGGGAGTTGAAAACACTTTAGTTATCTGAATACTAAAACGTCATGTTTTGAGAACTGTTCATTCTTATCAACTCAACAATTATCTATTGTGTTTATATCTGACCTCAGCTATGAGATGAACTTCATAACACGATTATGTTTAACAAATAAGCTGACACAGAACTTTCTGGGCTATGGGAAAAAACAGGAGGAAAACTGCTGCAGCAGTCTCTAACCCTGAAAAAAAATATCTTACCACTAAACATGCTGGTAACAGTTCCTTAATGGAGGAAGGGGAACTTTTTTTTTGAAAGACTGGTGTAGAAAATACAGCTTTTTTTTTTTTTTTTGGACACGTTTTGATTTGCTGATTTAGCTTTTGTGCGCTTTTTATTTATTTAGTTTGATTTTTTTCAGGGTTTGACAAAAGCAGGATTCTGCCACTTAAGTGGGAAGGATTCCCTCTGGGTCACCCTGAACACACCAAAGAAATGACCTCCCACAGTAAAACATGGAGAAAGCAGCATTAAAAAAAAAATAATAAATAAAAAATAATAATAATAATAAAACAAACAAAAAAAAATTACCACCCCCAGTAAAACATAGTGACAGCAGCATTGATAAAAAATAAATACAAATATAATAATAATAATAAAAATTGACCACAGTAAAACCTGGTGAAAGTAACATTAATAAAAAAATAAAATAAAAAATAAATTTAAAATTATAAAAAAAATTAATTTTAAATGACCACCCACAGTAAAACATAGTGAAAGTGGCATTAATAATATTAATAAAAAATAACCACAGTGAAACATGGTGAAAGCAACATTATGCTGTGGAGTTACTTTTCTAGAGCTGGGGGGGAAAGAAACTGAGATTTCAGGTTCAGGTTGTAACACGTTTTTCTAACATTCTTCTTATTTGCATCAATTAAAACAAATTAATTTGAATGAAAAAATGGCTAAAGACTAATTTTTCTGAAACATAATCCCATCTCTGACAATAAACCCTTATACTGAAGGTGTTTAATGCATCTATAAATCTACAAATATCAAAAGTCACATAAACTTTTACAGTAGTAAAACTTTTAGGATGATTTATAGTCACTAACCAACAGTTTTCAGCAAAATATAAAACAAACAAGAAACCCTTAAGCTAAAAGTCAGTTTAATGTTATGTTTCCAAGCCATTACTATTAGCACAGCAGAGGGGTTTTAGGGGAAAGCCGTTAATTAAAAGTGTTAACGTTCCCAGCTGAATCAGCTCCAGGACCAGCTAGCCTGTTAGCATCATGCTCACTGCAGCTCCAACCCAGAAAAGGTCTCCGTATCACCCACCTTTTTCATCCGCGGAGCCTCGGCCACCGTACCGTCACGGTTCACGAAAGCTTCTCCCCCGTTCTGTTGAGGGTCCGTGTGCTGCATAGCGGACGGCTGTGGCATTTTGACGGCGCTCGGGGTGAGCAAGCCCCGGCTGCCTTCCCCGGCTTTCGCGGAGGGCTCCGCGGCGGGGGACGTAGCGGCTGGGGCGGAGGAACCGGCCTCCTTCTGCGGCTCGTTTCTGCCGCCGAGGGTCTTGTCCTCCGACGTCGCCGCGGAGTCGGCCGACAGGTTTTTGCCGGTGGAGACGTCTTTGAGTTCGACCTCTGCCATTTTCGCTGCCACAACCTGGACTGACATCGCTGCAGTTTCTCAAAGTCCTTTTTTTCCAGCGCTGATAGCGAGGTGAGCGGATGTGAATGGAGGAACGGCGGCTCGCAATGCATTGTGGGACTTGTGGTCCCACAACCAAAACCCGGCACATTCGGGCATGGGAGATTTTTCTAACAGATAACCACTTTCTCTGGAAATATATTCAATATTTAACATTGAATAAGTAACTGAATATTCCCAAAATCAATAGTAATATTTGTAGATACATTGAAATACGTCACAAAAATACATGCTTACTTTAAAATTATTTTTCAGTACAATGTTCCGCATTAGCTACAGGACATTTACATTTATTCGGATTTAACATGAGATATTCCACACATTGTCTTCATTTTTCATCTAGTTAAAGAGATCATCAAAACAAAACACCAGGGTATCTGCGATGGCACAATTGGTACAGCAGTAAGGTCAAATCATAAAGAGAGCGACACTGCCACCATGCGGATGAGAGTGGTATTGAAATACATAAACTGATAATAGCATTTTTACTTTTGTTCTAGTGAATTAATCGACACACGTCACAAGAAATGTTTGAATAAAGGAACCTCACAAGGTATAAAGGCGAGAACTTTGAAAAAAATGTGGTTCTTTATTAAAAACACCTAAAAGGTCACTTAACAGTTGTCCAAAGCACATTTCTCCATAATTTCCTGCATCCTTATACTCCTTTATTAATAATGTAAACAAAGGGGCTAGATTGTGATGACAGTCTGAGCAGTGATATTTAAAAAAAGGAGAATACAAATGACAGTTTGCAGATGTTTCCAAGAAAAATATTTACATTCCTCTAACTGAGTTTTGTTGTCATTCAGTTATAATTTGAGGTATATAATTTACAAGGCTGCCATGCGGATACATTCTCAATCAGAAAAAGGAAATAAAAACTGCATCCTCAGGACTAAAAGTAACAGAAATGTGCTCTGAAACTGTGAACACAGCATTCATCCAGCAGAGGAAATGTCCATAGATGTGCATGCAGTTCTCTCTTCGGAGCAAACAGCTGTTTGTCGTGTGACCCTAAAAGAGTTAAACTGATCACTGCATTGCAGAAGAAAAAACAAAACAAAAAAACTCATCCTTAGCAGCTGCTTGTGTCTTTTAAAACATTGCATCAGTTTTCAAAAATCCAGAGGATGTTCACACCGGAGAGACCCAGATTCACCCTCCTGGGAAAGAAATAAAAAGGATAAGAAACACATTATTCAAGATAAATATAGTCAAAAGTAATCCCAAACATATGATCAGTCAGTTTTTTAATACATCAAATGTATTCAATGTTTTACAATAATTTGCTACAATGATTCTTCATTAATAACATAGGAAGAGCTCACCCCAGCATTCCTGACTCCTTGGTCTTAATGACATAGAGGAACATGAGGATCGTGTGAAACAGGTTATTCCTTCCCTATAACAGAAACAAGATGAAGTCTAACAATTCTACTTTGATTTTAAAAATCTAAATAAGGTATTTAGCATTCATTCACCTTAGGAAGACTGTAGATATGGCCTTGGTATATCAGCTGGTAGTGAGGGGGCGTGGTGCTGCTTTGGTGAATGCAGAAGAGGTTCTCTTTGGTAACATCTACAGGAGTTCATAAAACAAAATATAAATCAAATGCAGGAAAGGTTGTTTTTTCACTCCCGCTCTTTTGACAGATGAGCTCTCACCAGGTTTGTCAGGAGTGTGGCTGAAGTGCTGGGAAGTAAAAGTCTTCCCGTCTGGATATTTGGGATGTGGGGGCAGTCTGGAGTCCAAATATGTGCAAAACACATGCATGAGGATCTGAGAGAGAGATGAGAAGCATGAGCTCAGGTTGAGAGAGGAAAGCAGGGGGACTTCTGTAAATATAGTTTGCAGATCTTTGTTTGCAAACTCACAGCACAGTCAGTCGGGAGATCCGTGTCCCACTTCCTGTTCTTCAGATCACCGCCACCGTTCCAGCGAAAAGAGCTCATGCAGCCACTGTGAGATAGCTCTAAAGCAATAAACAACACATATACTTGGATTTTTATTTTTTGCGCCTGAACAGTAGAGAAATTATGAGCAAAAAATTGCATGTCTGAACCGACCTTTGATGCGATCCACTAGATATTCCTGGTTGGGTGTAATGTCCAAGTATTGAACAATAGAGGTCAGGGTGGGGATTAATGAGGCTTTCATCACTGCTGCCTGTCTCAGACTGCTAATGCTGGCCTCTGGTGGAGAGAAGAAGAAACGTTTTTGACACATTTAATGCAGAAATTCTACATGCAGCATTTCCAGCAGGTTTAACCTCCGATCTGAAGCTCCGGACAGCCCATCCTCCTCAGCTGACTGTTCACATTGTCGATCTCTTTGACCAGAGGGACCAAGATGGTGTCACTGATCCACTGCAGGCATAAAGGTTTGCATTAAGTCAATGCTGGAATTTTTTTGCACGAATTTTAGAACTTACAGACCATGTGAACAATCCAATAATTCAGTACTCACGTTTCTAAGCTTAGCTGTCCAGCTGTCGATACGGTCCACCACTGCACGACTGGTGGTGATCCTGGCCCAAACCTTTACGTGCAAAATGACGTAAAAATAAAAAATATATATGTATAAAAAAAAGTTTAAATAAACACATTTAATCTCTATACAAACATAGTTTTTCTAAACAAAAGTGAACCAAGGTGGTGGCGGTACGATGATGTGGGAATGCGTTCCTTCAGGAGAGTTCCCTTCCAGGAAGATAAAGCACTTAAACGCAGATGCAGCTCAATTAAACGTTTTAGAGGTGTCCATATTAATGGTCTAGTCAAAGTCTAGACTTAAATCCATTTGAAGATATGAGGAATAACTGAATAATTAATGTTTATAAAGATAACATTAATCCATCTAACAGAGTCTGAGTCATTTTAAAAAGCTTGGGGAAGACTTCCAGTCTTTAGATGTATAGAGAAGCAAAATAGTGACTCTAGGTTGGTTGAATGCAGATAATAACTAAATTATGCACAGATGGACTATTTCTACTTATCGCCTGTTTGCTGAAGTCTTCCTGGTTCATCACATATAGCACAAAATACACTGAAGTGTTTGGTTTTTGAAGTGTAAAACTTGTTTAAAGAGACAGGAGTGTAAAAAAAAAAAAGTTTGGCTTGGCAACGTGCAGACCTCTTCTGCAGCATGTTTGGAACCCAGGTCCGCCTCATCCTTGTGGGCAGACGGCGCCTGAGAGCGGCACGCCGGCTGGTACAGGAATTTCCTCAGGCTCTGTGCGTAATCGCCCACAGAACGGTTGTAGTTCCAGAAAGTAGGGCTGTGGTTAGGAGACACAGACTCTGGGCTGCCTGCAGGTAAAATGAAGAAACCAAACTGAATTCATATAGAATGAATTGAGTGAAATGATTGGTATATTGAATGGTAAAATGGAAGTTTGTGTATAAAAGGCATAAATAGACATGAACTGGTCTCAACTTCTTCCCACCTAGGTGACTGCGATGGCTTTTCTCCTCTTCAGAACGCAGAAACCTTTCCAGACTTTTCAGATCCTCCATGTAGTCCTCTTTGCTTCCAGGGGAATTAAACACAGAGGGAGATGTTCGATATCGAGCTCTCAAGCTAGAGCCTTCAGCTTGCCCAATAGTATTCTGGTAGGGTGAAGAGCCCGAAGATGGACTGTAGTTCAGCACCTAGCATGTGAGCAAAATAAAATATATAACATTAATTTAGAAGCCATTTTGGCTCCTTTTTTGTTTGTTAAAAACATCATGCACCTTTCCAAAGGCCACTGAGGGGGTAAAAGGTCCTCCTGCACTGCCTGATGGGGATGGACTTCCCAGAGGAGGGCTGTACCCAGCTGTACAGCTGGGGGAGAACTTAGGGCTGCTTGAAGCTGGACGGGATGGACTGAAGCTCAGCACGCTCTGCCCCTGAAGTGGGGAAGTCTGATCTGGAGCTGGAGCCTCTTTCTTTTCTGGCTTTTGGGGAGGAGAAGCCTGGATATCTGTAAGGTGAATGTCAAAATAGAAACAACAACAATTACCAGGCAGTTAGAAAAAAAAAAGAAAAAATATTTCCTCTTTACAAATAAAGGGATATTTACTTGTGTTCCTTAAACCCAGAAGGTTATGCTGCTGAGGGGTAACAGCAATAGTGGACGGAGACATTGTGTATTTAAAATACTTCCAGAAGTCAAACAGAGCATTGAGACTGAAGAGCGAAGCCAGAACAAGTTCTAGAAGAACAAAAAGAACAAACATAACAGAGTTTTAGACAACAGAAAGTAATACATAAAATACATGTAACCAAATCATTTGATCCATTTTACATCTCTAGATTCAAAAGGTTTTTATGCAAAAAATCTAGATTTAAAGTTGCTTTTTGTCCAAATATCAGCATTAACTTTTGGCAGGCATTTCTACAGAGATCAAACTTTAAAGGTTTGGCCTTAAATAAAAACAGGCTGTAGGAAAGAACAGAGAATCAATTCATTGAAAGATAACAGGCCAACATTTAAGCAGTAGTAAGAAAGGGTAACAGGATCTCACCGATGTACCAGATGGGCCAGTAGGTGATGTTATAGTACCTACTCAGCAGCTTCCCGGACCTACAGAGGTAACAAGCATAACTATTTGTTAAAGATAGGCTCAATGCACCCTGAAGCTCTATCTCTCTGGTTCAATTCCCTGAAAAGAGATCACTCGGGACAAACTCTTTAAATAACATTTCTCAACTTAAATTTATTAAATAACCAGGAGACATGACAACAGATTCTGATAGAAATTGTAATCTTACTAAGATCAGAAAAATTGCTTAAGCCGGGCTTACACTGTGCGATTTTTTGCCCCTTTTGGGGCGATTTTCCAGTCGTGCAAGAATTTTTCGATCGGGCCACTTTCCAGCCTGATTGTGCGTCATGTAAAGTACAGGGTGTAACCAGGGGGCGATCAGCTTCTAACGACCAACTCCCGATCAGAAATCGTAAGGTTGGGAGAAAATCACCCGACTGTCGTGGGCAAATCGCTCAGTGCGCAAACAAGGATTCTTCTTTTTCCTTCTTCCTCTCAGATGTAAACACAGAAGCATGCCAGGGGTGCAATGAGTGAAATGGGGTTCTCTCTGTAGAACTGAAAGACTGTAGTAACCACATTTGCTCAGCCATGTCTTTGTCCAAATACGTCGTCACCTTTTCTTTTTAGGGCTTTCAGCACTATATTGTAGAAATTGCTATTCCTCTTCTACTCATTTGGCTTCCAGATAGATGAGCCAGAGTAGCTCCATGTCACTGCAGAGCAGATAGATCGAATCAGAGCGCTGGGCTGAACATGCATCGTGAGCTGTGAACTCACACCGTATGACGAAACCCTGCACGAATATAGTGAATATGTGCAGGGATTGAAAAAAATCGCAGAGTGTACGCCTGGCTTTAAGGTTTACAAAAGGCAGCTGTTCCCCTCCAGGCTCACCTCTTAGAAAATGGCCCCAATTAAAAGTTGAAAAGGCATTTTATACATTTCCAGTCTGCCACATCATCTTATTTAACATCATAAACGTTAGCAGAAGAAGAAACGTCCATGGCTCCAGCCTTATCAAAATATTACACTACGTTCTTAGCTGAAGGACATCTCTATCATTACATTTCCAAATTTTTGCCACGTACAAAATGAAAATTATAACTATATATCCAGACAGAGGAACTGTCCTAATTAGATTAACCCTTTAAAGCAAAAAGTATCATATTTGATACCTGAGTTTTTGAATCCTCTGCATCATCAGTGGGATGTTTTGTTCTTGAAACCCTCACTTACATAATCAGACACATGTAGTGAATGGAAAATATAAAAATAATTATATAGAAATGAGTAATATATCCAAACTGATGCAAATAAAAGATGTAATTTAACGTATAAAAATGTATCTTGTTCTCAAAGTATCATGTTCTGTCAGGCTTTAAAGGGTTAACTATTGTGGAAAACATCAGTTCTGACATGCAACAGGCAGGCAATACCATTGTGTAATACACTCACACATCCTTAATAGGGCTGGGTTAAAAAAAATCTATCTAATCGATTTTGGATCGACTCCTTTACATTTTTGCAAAATCGATGTGTAGGGCATGACGTTCACATTCAAACGCCAACCCAAGTAACACACCGCTCAGCAAGCTGTCCCAACTGAAGTCTGATGTCTGGAACCATTTTGGATTTAGAACAGCTAAAGATAATGTGCTGGATATGTGACATTAAGGTGACGTCCCTCTACACTGATGATGAGTGGCGCCTTGCATCTCGTGCTACAGACCACCAAGATGACTTCAAGCCAGACAGCTGCAAGTATAGCAAATAGGTTGACTGAAGTCATTAACAAATGGGGGCTGACCAGAAAACACCCTGTATTTGTTACAGACAACGCTGCAAATATGGTTTGTGCAGTGGAAATAATGCAGCTCATGCATGTCTGCTGTGTCATGTCTGCCTGCTCGAGCGAGGTCTCCCTTTTTCACTTTTCACAAACAAATTTGCACTTTTGAGACAGTTTTGTACACATCACAAGCTTAAACTGTCTGATTTACAAGTTTGGTATTTTATATGCCAAGAAAAAATAAAAAGTTGAACCACTTTCATTATTGTAAAAACAGATTGAATCGAAATGTATCGATTTAGAACTGTATGAATCAAACTTGAATCGATTTAGGAATTTGGCCAAAATACCCAGCCCTAATCTTCATTGATAATTATCCTTACACATTAATATACAAATTTACAAAATGAAAATATTATAGCAACTTATCTATTATAAATGCTTACATTTCAGTGTAAATCATGCCAGCTAGGGACACGTTAAGAACTGCCCAGGCGAGGACGATCTGCCTCGCCTGCTCCTCCCTCCTCATCCTCAGCGCCCTGTCTATCATGCTGGGCATCCCTTCCTTCTGTGGGGTCAGCATAGCTGTCACTCAGGGCAGGCTGGGAAAAAGTACGAAAAAAACAATAAATAAAAAAAATTGCATAAGAAATTAGAGTAATAAGTGAAGTTAGAAGCCTTATTTAATGAGTAAAGTTAAAGTAGGTGACATGAAATATTGTTATTTAACGTTAATGTCAGCAGAGCTGCTAGCTAAACCGTTAGCTAGCACAAAAGCAGCAGAGGCGCACCGGAAGTCTGCGTTTACTTTAAAATTATGTTATGTTTGTGAATACAAAAGCTTAAAAAGTTCACAAAAATCAAAATTATAGTATAAAAATGAGAGTAAAACACATACCACGCTGAAGTGAATGAAAGCACCGGCGCTGGATATTTGTATTTCCAAACAGGAAGTCGAAATTTCAATTCCGGTGCAGGAATTTCAAAATAGGACTCATATAAATTACTTTACCTTAATAAAAAAAAAAATCATAACAATTGTCGAAAAATATATGTACGCCCCTTTTATATTTTATAGGCGAGTTGGTTTGTATTGAAATAGAAATCAGCCAGGAAATAGCATTAGTATTCGACCCAATACGAATGCCGACTGTGGCTTATTTTCTAATGTGCCAACAGGGGGCGGCAAAGACCAACATGCTTCTCACACGGATGGTATAATGAGTCTGAAAATATTCCTATATTTATTTGTTAAATGTAAGTATTTTGCAGCTTGCTACCAGCAGTAGTTTATACCGGCTGGTGTCACATGTCATTTACTCTATTCTTGCAGGCAAAAAAATTATAGATTTCAATTTTATTTTTAAAACATTTGACAAAACACTGACACAGAAGCCCTTTTCTGGTACAGAAAATGGCAATTCCTGTAAAATAAGTAGGGTAATAGTTACAACAATGTCAAGACATTATAAAATAACCAATAAACTCAAGAAATATTAAAACAGACAAGGCATAATAAACAGAATTTTACATATATAATACTATAGCAGCAATAATATTTTAGAAGAATTTTAAAATAATTGTTACATCATATAATGTAGCATCACTTTTTTGTAGAATGTGGCATATATGTGTAAAGAATAGCAATGTATACAGTAAATAAATAAAACAAATATTCCAAGAGGCACTCTGTCTTAATGAGGAGGGGAAAGGGATTTTTCAGAGTTATAACCTCCAACATCTAAACCATAATCCTCATCATTCAGTCTCTCTACACCTCCTCTTCTTCCTCTATTCTCCTCTTCTTCCTCCTCATCTTCTTCCTCGTCTTCCTCCTCCTCTTCCTTTAAAGCATTCTGCTCCTTTCGAGTCGTTCTGTCTCTCTTGGGCCCTTTGCAGATCTTAAGGTGACGTGTGAGGTGGTATTTAGTGAGGAAAGCTTTGTGGCACTTCTCACAGACAAAGTCTCTTTTACCCTCATGAGAGTTCATGTGCTTCTTCAGGTGGTTGGTTTTCAGGAAGTGCTTGTTGCACTTTGTGCACTGAATCTGGCGCTCACTGTGGAGATATGGAAACATATTTAACATCAAAACCTTCCTGGAGGGTAATCATTAGAGGAAGGGTGTAATAAACTACCTACTTTGTGTGAGAGAACATGTGTTGTCTCAGGTCTTGTTTGCGGATAAATGATTTGTCGCAAAGGTCACACTTGAGTTTCTCTGCACCAGTGTGGATGAGCATATGTGAAGCAACGTGAGATTTCTGCGTGAATGACTTCCCACAAACTGTGCATTTAAAGTTCTTCTGACCTGTTAAAATAAAAAAAAAAAGGTTTCCATTTGTTAGCAGTTTCTCCCTGATAAATAACCCATTAATTATTATATCCAACCTTTATTAAATATCACTACTTAATAAGGTATCATTTTTCAGAGGATGGCAAAAATATATAAATTTTTTAATATCTTTTCCAGCTTTTAACTCCCAGAACCTTCTTCCTGACCCATCTGCTGTGATCCATGATGCTTTTCCTCATTCATTTTATTAACAGTCATGTTCTGGATTTTTACAGAAGTTAAATCAAATTTAATTGAATTTCCAGTTCCTTAATAGGTGACTTCTGAAAGCAATTAGCTACACTGGAGGTTTATTTAATCATTTCAAAATAAAAGATACACCTAGTAGATTTGTATCCGTGTAGCAGTTGCATTTGTGTTAGCTTGTCATATATAATCTTCAAAATCTTTAATTTGGAGGTTATAACGTGGTTACATATTGAAAAGTTTAGTTGATATTATTACTTTTGCAGCAAACTTTAAGATTCTCGTTTAGCTGAAATCTCAGTTCTTTATTCTATTTAAAATGAACAGGTCTAAGCAGTCCACCTTTTTCCTCATGGATAGAATGCTACAGGTAAATAGAGCAGCTTAAAGTACCTGTGTGAATCTTGAGGTGCTTCCTGAGGTTGCTGGGATCACTGAACGCCTTGCTGCAGTACTCACACTTATGAGGCTTCATCCCCACATGCCCCATGAAGTGCACGTTTAGCTTAGTGGAGGTGATGAATGCCCGAGAGCACATGCTGCATTTGAACTTCTTCTCCCGCACGCTGCCCTGCCCTTTACCTCTGGTGGCAGCATTGTTGGAGTTCCCGTTGCGGCTGCTGTCGCCGTTTGTTTGACCTGCGGCGGGATTGTTACAGGGCCAAGGTGAGGACGAGGAACTTGACGTGCCATTGAGGAGCTTCTCCTCAGAGGGAACGTGTTGAGGTTGCTGTGACTGCAGCTCTTGTTGCTGCTGAGGTGGTGCTGGTTGCTGCTGCTGGGTCTGAGTGTGGTGCTGAAGCGATGGGCTGTGGCAGTGAGGAGGCTGGGAATGGCTGTGGTTACTATTATGGCTGTTGAGATGAGACTTTAACTCAGAGAATGATGAGCACTCTTTGCCACACTGGCAGATCTGGCCATCAGGTACCTGAGGAACACCTGGAAGCATACAAGGAGAGAGTAATCGATCTTTAATAAAGACTATCCAGAGCAAAACTATTCTTATTCCAATATGCTGATTCCAAACCATGTTTACCAAACTAACATTTATACAGTGGGAGGAAATTAGGACAATTTAATGAATGAAAGGAAGGAATAAGGACACTTGAAAGGGAGTGGTGGCCTAGTGGTTAGGGTATAGAGCTTGGAATCCTGAGGTTCTGAGTTTGAGCCCCGCTCCCACAGACTGCCACTCTGGTTCCCTGAGTAAAGGCCCTTAAAGTGCAGTAGGAGATCTTTTCTGACGCATTTTTTACCATGTGGCTCGAAGATCCTCCACAGCCGCTTTTAATAAATGGTCCCCGATACAGTGAGAAATCAATGAATAACCCCAACAAATCCAAAAAGACAGTACATTGTACACAACTGGTTCCTGACACATAAATCATGGTCGTCTGCTTGTCACTCCCCCTGTGCGCGTACCCTAAGGAAAGCGGGGAGAAGTACGGGGATACCGTTGTCTAGGCTACTGTTACCGGGTCAGGTTCGGACGCTCCGTCCCCCGCTGGCTCCCTGTTTTGACTACGTGCTGCACTGTAGTCGTTAATTTAAGTTTCGGTATTTTCTGTTAATATAGGCATTAATAAACTGTTTCAGAGGAGTAATCATAGCGCTCTGCATCATCAGCGCTGCTTCTGTTGCTCTAGAAGCGCTGCAGACAGCATGCGCGTTCAGGTGTTTTGAAGGCATGGTTTCAAGTGGTGATCTGAAGGGAGAGGCATGGTTGTGTATGTTCAAAAAATATAGCCTAATGGAACCGTTTTCCAAGAACTCCTACAGCACCTTTAACCCCACACTGCTCTCCAGAAGCAGCACAATGGCAGCCCACTACTCCACAAGGGGATAAATGGGTTAAATGCAGAGATACATTTCTTCAATGTGAGATCAATAAAGTTCAATTATTTTAATTATTATTTTACGTACCGAAGGAAGGAATAAGGACACATTAATAAAAGGAATGAAGGAATAAGGAAGGTAGGTAAGGAATGTAGATAAGTAGAGGGGAGACAAGGATATGAGAAGGACAAAGACAAGAGATGACATGCTGGATGACCTCATCATTAGACTATGCAAACTAGTCCTCTCACCCATCAGCCTGCAGTAGTCTGGGCTGTAGTAGAAGAGCAGCTCCTGGTCAGGGTGAATCTCTGTGGTTGCGCAGAAGAACAGTTTACCGTTGGCTGGGTAGGCCACCAGGTTCTGCTCTTCTTGGCTCCTAAAAAACACAAACACTGTGTTTTATCTTTAATGGAAGGAGGCTTCCTCCATTATCTGTACACAGAGAGATCAGCAATCTACCTCGCCTTGCGCACAAACATCATCCAGTTGCACTCGTTCTCATCTGTCGTCACAATGTAGAACTCCAGCACATTGTTGTGGTACATCTACGACAAAGAACGTGCATTTCCAGCCATTCGCTTTATAGAAAAGTATTAATGCACACAATTTTAAACAGCTGCAAAACATCACACCTTCCAAATCTGAGGCGCATCCTTTTCGGGCCAATTAGAGAGATCCACGTTGCTACAGTGCTGGCCAACCATCGGTCCGAAGCAGGTCCTTGGAGAAATGACGTCCCGTGCAAATACTCCTGTAAAAGTTTTACAGGAACGTTTAGATCTGCTCACACCAATGGTGAAACCTTCAGTTAACGGCGAGAGAAATCAAAGCCTACCAAGTGGCTCATCAGTCACAGAGATACGAAGACAGAGAGGACGCGGCAGAGAGAGGCGAGCCCTGCTTTGGATGGGCGTGTCAGGGATAAAGGTGACCGGGCCGTGCTCCGGACAGTCTGAGGTATACGAGCGCTCACACAGCGTGCACCCTAAAAGCAAATGAAGCTAGGTTAGAGGGGGGCGGAGTAGTTACTGCACTGTACTTATGTATTCATACTATTTTAATATACTTCCTCATTTTGAGAGATTAAAATAAAAACACATTCAGTGTATTTAGTTTTGGTTAGTCATTGGAACTTATTAAGGTTTTCTTCATGTCAACAAAACCCTGATTTGTGAAATGTTTAATTTAAATTTGCTCCTCCTGTCAGAGATGTAGATTAAATTATACACAGCAGGATAAGACAGATGCTTTGAGAAATACTCCAGAACTCTGAATTCTTTTTCACTGTTATTAATTCATTTGTTTATACTCACAGATGGAGCAGGGAGCGGCCATGTTCTCCTTATTGGGAGCAGGATCCTCCAGTTGCAGGGTGGGATTGACGAGGACCAGGTTGTTTTCTGCACCTAAGGACACCTCAGCAGTGATGGAGGATACATTCACCGCCTCCAGACCCATCCCGGTGTGTCCATGGAGAGACACAGGTTCAAGTTGGCTCTGGTTGGACATGGAGCCTGTGAGCACTACGCTCACCACGCCGGGGTTCATTTCTCCATTCCCGTGGAGCTGCTCCCCGAGCCCACCGCCTCCTCCTCCTCCCGTCCCGGA